CTGTTTCAGAGGTGACAGCTGGCTCCAAGGCACAAACATGATAGCAAAATGGTGTGGGACAAAGCTGTTACTGGTCCAGGAAGCAGTGGGAGTAAGGAAGAGCGGGGGCTGGAGGATAGATTCTCTAACCAACTGGTCCCTCCCACTAATAGCCCATTCAGCTATGAGCTCCTCAATAATTTAACCCATGAGATCAGCACCCTTGTGACAGTCTCCAGTACCATTCTGGGCATTGCTACCATGGGGATCAAGCCATCAGTGCAGCCTCTGGGATATACTTCATACTTAAAACCATAAAGAATGCTTTGGTTAAGCACCTGCCTGAAGATATTGTACAGCCAACTCAAAAGCCACCAGGGCAAGAAGTGTAGGCTTCACAGTTAGCCCTAAATTTGAATCAAAGTCTACACCTCTCTACTTCTATAGCCTAGTGCAAGCTGCTTAACTGTCCTGTGTGCTCATCTACAAAATGGGGGCTATACCTAGGTCATTTTGTGCCTAATGACAGTTTTTTGTAGTGTCTGAGGTATGTTAGGTACTCAGTGACACAGACCATGAAAGCATCATGAAGAGAAATTGAAGGCTAGATGCAGAGAAAGTATATAGTATTCCATAAGACGAAGTTATGCTGAAAGTCTCAGGGACAACCAAATCAGAAATGTGGGCTGTTCCTTTCTTACACTTCTCATTATAGCCACCACTAAACGCTCAGGCATGAAGTTTTCCCTACAGGCAGAGTTCAAACCCAGGTTAGCTGCTTTAGGTGAGAGACTGTCCTACTTAATTCTGTAGCCCCAGTAGCTCAATGTAGATCCCAATGTGTGCATAGTACAGAGCAGTGCTGAGTGGACAAGCTGATGAGTAAAAGTGTCAGATTTATAAATACAAAGTATTTTTTGCACTATTTATGCAGTGACTACAAATATATTACCTTGTAACCAAGGAAAAAAATGTACTTATTTTATTCAGAACTCAACCAAGAGTTACTCATCACTGCTGCAAGTAGGCCACTTTCAATCACTCCTCAAGGTATCTGACAAAAAGCACAGCAGAATACTATCTGTATCGCTGGCTATTTTATTCAACATGCCTGCAGCATAGATGGCTATCATCATGTCTTCTAGTGTAGGTGTGCTAATGGATTCACATACTGGGATACATTTATTATATATGATTATTTTATTCTTTTTTATATTATAATTAGAGCATTATATTCATCTCTCTAAAATTGTATATGTAAGCAGGTTAAATTAGCTATGAATTCTGCATTAAGACAGTAAAGGGGGGTCAACCCGATGGCTCAGCAGACTAAAGAGCCTTCTTAGGCAGAGCATGGAGGCTGGGGCTGGATCCCTGATGTGCTGTGCCGTGCCGGCCCCACCCGTGGGGTGCACTGAGATGGCAACTGAGACACAGTGTGGTGGCTCGCACTTGTAATCCCAGCACTTGGGAGGCTGAAAACAGGAGAATCACTACAAGTCCAAACTATGTAATGAGACCCTGAAGACCCTGTCCTAAATACATAAAAATAAATAAAATGAAAGAAAGACAGTGAATAAAAAAGGAATAAAACGTGTTACGCAAGAGGAGTCTTGGGATTGTGCTGTATTGTGGGGGATGTGATTAGCACTGATCCTCACGTTAGCATTCATTTCATGTGGTCTTTGAAAATTACTTCAATCACCAAATTACTGTGAAGTTGTTTACTCTTAATACTTCAAACAATTTAGCTGCTGCTTTGAGCTTTTTTTGTTCTATGCTATATCTCATGGCCCACAACTTGTTCCATATCCAAGGGATGTTTTCTCAGGACTACTTATGCTAAATTTGAGAATATTAAAAGAAGTTTTTACACTACTATTACTGAATAATAACAAAAGAAATCCTAGTTCTTTTTTAAATGAAGTATTATTATGAGTTATCTAGAAAACTGTAAGATTTGGTTTGTGTGGGAAGTGTTTATTTCAATAAAATAATGTGCCCATAAAAAGTGTTATATGTACAATGTAAAAGAAATGATTCATCCTTTTTTAAAAATGAATATTTTATATTCCTATCTCCAAATTTGGGGAATTGTCCAGACTAGAATTCTTAATGTATATATCTAGTTTTCAGAGGGAGGGATTTTTTTTTTTTTAAATGTATTTAGTACAGGGTCTAAAGGGTCTCACTACACAGATCAGACTCAGTGATCCTCCTGTTTTTAGCCTCCCAAGCACTGGGATTACAGGCACGCACCACCATGCCCAGTCTAAGGAGAATATTCTGCATAATCCTAGGTAGAGGCAATATACACATAGCCCTTAAAAATAATAATAATAATGCAGGAGTGGGGAAGATAGCTCAGCAGTCTAAGCGCCTGCCTGGCAAGTACAAGGACCGGGATTCAATCCACGGTACCGCATGTCAATGCCAGCCCCACGCTGAGCCAGTCACCAAAACCAGGCATGCTGGCAAACACCTGTAATTCCAGCACTTAGGAGGCTGAGATAGGAAGATCACTACAAGTCTGAACTGCAGTAGAGAGACTCTGTACCAAAAACATAACAAAATAAAAGATTAAATAATGATGCAGAAACCCTGACAATATTTACTATAGTCAAATCACACAGAAAGTTGGCTAAAATTATATTTTTATATTTCTCGCTCTTCCTGAACCTAAGTGTCACACTTATGGCTACTGTTAGTATTTCTTCATCAGTCCCTGTGTGTTTTCAGATTTTAACCTTCCTACCAGCCTCTTGGGATAGGTTTTATACCCAAGGATGAATGCTTTTATGAGAAGACTAATCCATTGAAAATTCTTCCTAGTAAAATTTGTGTCAAATTTTCAAATTGAGATATACTAATCATCCATCTCTGCTGGTTTAGGCTTCAATGTGCTCCTTGGCTCTGCTCTTATGGGCCATCTTAGGCAGACGCCCTGCCTCCTGTAAAGCCTAACTGGTCTCTGGCAGCACTTGCACTCTGAAATCACAAACCCAACCAGAAAGTTCTAAACATAATAAATGCTCTTCTATCTGAGCCACTGCAGTTATTCATATAGTGTATTTGCCTAAGTTCTCCTCTGCTTGTTTTCTTCAAGTGTGTTCTTTTAGACATTAATCCAATTTCCCCACTTCCAAAAATCCAAGACAGACTATGACTTCAGCAGCTAGTCATACTGAAACATTTCAAGAGCCCCTTTTCCTGAGATAGTATTGATTCCTTAATTTTGAGACTACTAAATATTCATCTTAATTTTCTAAAAAATATTGTTTATCATGAAACTATACCATCTTTGTTGGAAGAATTAAAAAATTATTCAATCCCCAGCATGCCGTGCTGGCCCTGCCCCTGCCCCTGGGTGCAGTGAGATGGAGACTGACAGTGGACGTGGTGGCGCACTACTTACAATTCTAAAGGAAACTAAGAAAAGTACTAAATTAAACCTAAACAGAAGGGCCAGGGAGATGGCTCAGTGGAATAAGAGCTGCCTGGCAAGTACAAGGACCTGAGTTCAATCCCCGGTTCCACCAAAAACAAAAAAAAAAAAAAATTCTCTAAACCTAAACAGAAGGAATCATACTGCCAATATTAAGAGAAATACTCAATTATATTAGATACAAAGACAACTGAGAAAATCTGTGAAACCAATGCAACACACTAAGCTTAGTTGAAATACCAGAACTTCCTTCAGCATTAGAGAACATCAGTATTCAAACTTTTAGAAATATGTTCACACTCTTAAAAACTGAGACCCCCCCCCATTCAAAACCAAAGAATACACAGGCATTCATCCCCTTAACATCAAAAAGATTATCATCACATGTCCTAGAGTGCATGAAAAAAACCCTCTCATATTCTCATATTTCTACTGAACACAGTAGGAACCCGGACATGGTGGTACACGTCTACAATGCCAGCACTTGGGAGGCTAAGGCAGGAGGATTGTCGGACCAGTATGGGCTACAAAGTGAGCTCAAAGCCAACCTGAGCTGCATAGTGAGACCCTGTCTCAAAAAGACAAAAATAAGAACAGAGTAGGAAAGCAGAGGATGTCATATTAGAACACCCTGAGAAGTTATCAAAGGCTGTTTTTTGCTTTAAGGTAATATACATAGATATTAATACAGAAAACATACAAAACACTCTTAGTTCCATAAAAAACAAGTGACAATTCTAAACCAAATTAGGAAATGTCACCATAATCTTCAAAGACTGGCCAAATGTCAGAGTATAAGTCATAGGCAAAAAAGACTCTTACGAAAGAGAAACAGTAGTACAAAACCTTCTTTGTAGTGAACTAAGACAAACTAATAGTATAAATGAAACAAATTGGAATAAACATCAAAAATATTTTTGAAACAAGGGATAAAGAATTTAGAGAATTATTTGAATAATTAATTAGCACGGGCTGTGCACAAGGGTGGTTCATAATCTCGTGAAGCATTGCGTATTTTTCATACTCCAGAAACAGTGGCTGTCTTTAAAAATCTAGTAACACACTGGTGAGGAGGTTTGAGGAAAAGGAACTCTGCCACATTGTTGGTGGGGAAGCGAACTATTTGACTGTTATTCTCCCTCCCTCCCGTTTCTGTGTCTTTATGTATGCAATAGTCAAGCTTGTGTGTCTATGGATGCCTCACGTTTATCTTTCTTTATGGCAGAGTAGTACTCCACTGTACACAAATATCACATTTATCCTTTCATCTGTTGATAGACATATAACACTGCTTCCAAAGTCCAGCTATTAACAATTGTGCTGCTATAAATATGGCTATGCAAGTATCCTGTAACATGATGACAAACTCTTTTGAGGAACATACCTAAAATGTGCATGGCTGGGTCAAACAGACTATTTCTAGTTTTTCAAGCGCTCTCCACTCTTATTTCCATAATGGTTGTACTAGTTCACTTCCCTGCCAACAACATAGAAGGGCTCCTTTTCCCCTACCCCAACATCCTCAGCAGCATGTTATTAGATTTTTGAGAACAGTCACTGTTTCTGGGGTATGATGAAAAATATGCAGTGCTTCATGAGTTTGCGAATCACCCTTGTGCAGAGCCCATGCTAACGTTCTCTGTGTGGTTCAACTTTAATATACACGCTGCCAAAGCAAGAGCATTCTCTGCTTTGAGCTTAAGAACCTGGAGACTGACCACAGCTGCCTAGAACATCATGACTGTGGAGAGATGGGATAATGCAGACCAGGAGCCCGAGTTATCTTAGGCTTCTTTAAGTCTCTTTTAATACCCACTTTGAGCAATTGCTTTATCTGACCTAAAATCCTCAAGACTACTAGATAATTATTGAAATGTACAGCTAAGCAGATTAAACCTCTGGTCTGTACTGACTCTAAAGTTAAGAATGCTATGAGAAAACATTTGAAGCACGACAGAACAGACTTTCTTGCCTTGCCATAGCCAGCCTACGTGATGTTGCCTCTAATGTTTTGGTAAACACAATGAAGCACAGCATTCCTTTGCTTTGCTGGTTCATGTTTCCTCTTCCACAGTGGAAGAAGTAATTCAGGATAACCTGAATCTGTCTTCACAGGCCATGGTCACTCATGCTTAGATCAGAATAAACTACTTTATTCCCTTTAAAGCTGAATTATCCCACACTGACACTCCCCCCTAGGTCCCCAAACAATACCTAAGCATCTGCAGAGGAAGGCTGAGGGGAAATTCATCACGTAAGACTAACTCACACCAAAGGCTGAGGGGAAATTCATCACAGAAGACTAGATCATCTACTCCTTAACTATATCCTGTGAAAGTCTTTGAGCAAAGTTGCAAGATAAAGATCCATGAAGGAAGTCTCAGCATCATTAACATGCTTTGGTGTCTGTTATTGCAGACCAGGAAAGATATGAAAGTGCTGGCATCAAACTAGATTCTGAATTCCATAAGCGCAGCATGACTGATCCAGCTGATGTTACCTTAATGGATAGCAGCATTGAGGCATGAATCTGAATGAACTGACATACATAAATATCTTTAGCATAGTTAATTTATCATGGTGTCCCTAGGATGAAATTAAAGGGGCAGCCTAATGAAGTCTTCTTTGATTTGTAGAAGCAGAATGTTCTCACCCTGACTTGAATAACTACAATAAAGAATCTGGGTCACCCAGCAAATTCCCATAGCGGTACTTCCTAACTCCTTTAAAATTAGCTTATTACATTTTACAGGCCTTCAGTTTCCTTGACTCTCAGTGCTATACAGTACTAACTTTTCTTACCTAAACTAATCATACTAATCATTAATTTCACATGTTTTAACAAATCTGACACACTACATTTGGGTTCAGGTATCACTAGGAATGGAAACTTACTGCTATAACAACAGCATTAATTAGTGATTTCATGTTAACAAGCTTTCTTGCCACTGGGAGAACCAGGTGCCTTAATGTTTGACACAATTTGTATTACATAAGTAAATTTAATCTTAGATAACCTGTTTTTTTCAGTTTAGAAAGGACTATGAAAATAATGTATTACTGTGCCCACATTTTACCCAAAGAGGACTGAATTTTTCCTCTCCAAAGTAATGAGAATTTCTTCCTTAGAAGACGTAAAATAATCTTGAACATTTTACATTTGTTTGAAGACAGGATCTCTTGCAGTCTAGACTAGCTCCAAGCTCACTGTGTAGCCCAGGATGCCCTCCAAGCTGTGATCCTCCTCTGTCAAATCTCCCAAGTATTAGAACTATGGGAATGCACCGCCATGCCCAGACACGCTTACCTCATATAGTTCTATCACTAAAATGAAATTTGTAAAAAATAAATGGCCTGTTCATTGAAAACGAGAGCCAGTAATATAGCTCAGAAGCACAGCACCTACCTGTCAAACATGGGGTCCTGAGTTCAATTTTCAGTACAAAAAAAGATACTGAGAAGGAAAGTTGACAGCACTAACTATTTTGCAACACTCTTCCTTATGGTACCTACTCTTTGAACACTGTTGAGAATATTCTCTTCCCTAAAACACTTCTATTAAGCTGGTCTGTGTTGGACCAATAGGCTATAGAAGTAAATTTACTCGCCAACCATAATTCTTTGGACAATCTACATAAACTCTTTTTTGATCCCTTAAAAGGACCTTCTAAACCATTCCCTAATAGGATATATTTTGGGCTTTACTGGTACTGGTGCTCACTGAATTGCAATGCAATTCTAATTACTTTCATTTTTTTTCCATCAGAGATTGTCTGAACCTGTATGGATAACATAGTTTGGTCAACTTATGCTGACATGAAACAGTACAACAGTTACTATGAATGTGTATACTGTTTACAATATGTATATAGTATTTTACAGTGTGTAAAATATACTGAAAAAAATATAGCTTCAAAAAACCTTTTTAGGGCTGGGGAGATGGCTCAGTAGGATAAGCGTTTCCCTGGCAAGGTCAAGGGCCTGAGTTCAATCCCTGGTTCTGCCAAAAAAAAAGAAACCTTTTTAAGAAAACTTAGAAGGGGGGTTGAGAAGGTGGAGGGAGTGGGTGGAAATGGAGAAACCCCCTCCGTCTCTTATGGTCAATGCTTGTTTTCTATGTCTACATTTAAATGCATGGAAGGAAGTCCAGGAAAAACATATGAAGGAGCACGAAGAAAGGAAGAAACTTCAGGGTTTTTCTTCCTTGTTTTCCATGAGTAGCTGGAAATTAAAATTGGATTTGTCTACCGGCTTGGAAGGGCAATCCCGTAACTGACTGGATTCTGAGGATGTCTATGTGAAGTTGGATTCTTTTTACAGTATATCCAATCTGAAGTATTGCACATCTAAACTGGGACTGTTAACACTGATGCCAATACAGTGTGGAGTGCTAGAAAGTGTCTGATATTTGTGGGGGAAAAAATATTTTGTATCAAAGGGAATCTGGGGAGAATGGTAGTATATTTTTTTTTAATCAGCTGTGAAAAAAAGAGATCTGGAAAAAAGAAAAAGAAAAAGAAAACTTAGAAATCGTCAAGTCCCATGTCATGTGTTTCTGCATGTTAGTAAAAGTTTACCTTTGTCATATTCTCTATAGTTACACCTTCTGAATCATGGCTAAAAGGAGCTCATCAACCCAGAGCTGAAACCCACCAATTCAAATGGATCTAGATTTTATTGAGCAGCTATTCCACATAAATTTAGAAGATAGTTATTTACTAATAACTGATTGATACAACTCGCATGCTGCCACTGCCTCAGGCAGCCTTTAAAAAGTAATGAAACGGAAAATATATCCACATTTTAAACATTGGAATATGAGTTTAGGGATAGTCTTTTTATTTGTAATTTTCAGCAACCGGTTTTTAACAACAAAATAGTTTATGGAGGAAAGTCAAGTGGAAGATTAAGATTTGTTTCAAATACAGATTAGGCTTAGTTTTACTACAGATTATTGGTATTTTTTTCTCTTTATGAATTTAAACCTAAATTCATTTAATTGTTCCAGAGCATATTAATTTGAATTTTCTAGAATATATAGTAATGCCACAATCCAGAAGATATAAAAGGCTTTTCAAACTCTCAAAATATAGTGTCTGATATCAAAGATATAAAACTCTCAGCGTTCTACAACTAAAGCTGAAAGTTGTTTGCCCTAGCACAGAAATCTACATAAGTCTTACCAAGATACACCCTAAATGTATACAAGGGCATACTGATTCACTGAGTGCATTAGTTATCTTTCACTACCACAAAGTACTACATTTAGTGACTCAAACACTGCAAACTATAAGAACTCAACAGAAGAAATACAAATAGAAAGGTATAATACAAGTAAAAGGAAAACAGGAACTCGAGGACTAACTAATCAAGAGAGGAAAAGGAGAAGAACTAGGAAACATGACAATGTCAAGCCAAACGTTCTATGTAGAGAAGGGCAAGGCAATGATCCTGAGAATCTCCAGAAGATTTTTGAATCTAGCAGTTAACTGGAAACATTCTCACCCTGACTATATATACTGATACCTGTGAACTAAGCTACTACACTGCAAATGGTAATTTGTAATAGTAGTTTCATGCTTGGAGTGCCTGTCATTCTGGTCTTATGAATACGGGCTGCTTGTCATGACATGCCAGTTGCTGCTGTGCTGTCTCTCAGGTAGATGGTTGTTCAAACAGAAGGGGT